GAGGGTTTGAAGAGGGCTAGCCTGGGTCAGAAAGACCCCTGGTGTCTACTTGGCTAGAGGCTGGGAGTCTACTGTGTTAGGGAGAGTTAGGTAAAGTGACAAAGGCTTCATGCAATGCGGACACGGAGTGTGTGCCTAGCTAGTGTTGCAGATGTAACGCCCTTCCCCGCCTCACTACCCACTTGGGGGAACCAGACACCCTCGTTGCACGGCCCGGGCTCCCATTGGACTACCGCTTCCACCCTGGCTCTCCGGGTAGACACAAGGCGGGAGCAGAGCACAGAACCTTGAGTTTGAGCTGCTTTTCCCCCACCGGCCCCTCACTTCTGCACCTCCTCACTCACCTCCCTTGAAAGACACGCCCACTCATTACAGCTCCGCAGCCAGGCACTGGCTCCACGCACCCCGCTGAAGGCACCGGGCAATTAGATCGTTAGCACAGCCCCCACCCACCTGCTCCAGCCCCATCACTCTGTTTCAGCTCTAATCCCTTAATCTCCCTCCATTGCGGGCTGGCTCTGGGGTTTTTGCCCCGCAGAGCCCTTTCCCTCCCTTTCTTCCCCCAATTAGGGGCCTCTCTTTTTTTCACAGAGAGCCCCTTCTAGCTAAAGGCCTCCCTGCCCACAAGTAGTAAGACGCTGAGCTGTCTGGTCTTGAAGTGGCTCCTAGTAGCCATTTTACTCCACCTAGAAGTCTTTCCACGGGGGAAGCTGCCGTCCTGTGACCTCCTTGCCTGGGTACAATGGCTAGGATGTCTATGGTAGCTCTCTCCTCTTCGGCTCCCCCTATCCCTTTGTCTCTTCTTGTCCCAGTTTCTCCGAGTTCTCTGGAAATGTCTTCCCTCAGCCCCTTCATAATGACTTCTATTTTCCTTTCAACTCACTCCCATTGCCTGGGCCAGGAGCCACGGAGACCTGTCATAGTGGAACTTAGGCCAGAGCCCTGGTTGGATAGATACCCCTTAGTGGGGCCCTCAGCCCCCGAGGGGTCAGCAGAACCTCGAGGGCGATTGTCCCCAGAGCTGCAAGCAGAACGGAGCTGTGGGGAGGGACAAGGTGACCCAGAACACATGCCTGTCAGAAACCTTCCCGGGAAGGGCCTGTTACTGACCAGCTCACCATGCTGTGTTTGTCCCCAGATTCACAATCAGTGCTGGGGGCTTCCAGTGCGTGGGGGAAGGGCCTGTTCCTTGTCCCTTTCTCAGGTCGGTGGGCTGAGGTTGGGCAGAGCTGGGCACCAAGGGCCAGCAGCTGTCCCGTGTTCCCACAGCTCTGGTGCCAGTGTGTGAATGAGGGAGTGTGGGGAGGGCGTGGGAGATAGGACTCCCCACCATCTTTTGGCTGGGATGACAGCCAAAACCCCGAGGCTCCAGGAAATGATGGAATTGAGGAGCAGCCGTCGGGGTGGGTGGGGGCTGGCTGGCTACTCCCTGGAAGGAGAGTCTGGTGGGGCTGACTTGGGCCAAGCCTCCTGCAGGATGAATGGATGACAAGGGCCCTCTCTTCCCTAGGGACTCTCCACAAAGGCCTTGGCTACACCGCTGAATGGCAAGGGGTAGAGAAGGGAACTGGGGGCCACGGGAGTGGGGTGGAGGTGGGGGTGGGTGCATGGCTGTTTCCAAAGTCCTCTGCACTCCTAGGAGAAGGCCCTAGGCTGGGGTTCCTGGCCTGGACTCAGGCCCAACTTTGGCTTGGATCTGCTGAATGAAGAGGCAACTTTCTTAGCCTTTCTGGGTCTCAGTTTCCCCTGCCCTGGTTGGTGTTCCCTCCCCTCTTGGTGTCGCTGCCTCTACCCTCTGACAGAAGTTCTTGGGGCTACACAGGAATGGTCACTCCACTTTGGGCACCATGGTCTAGGAAACTTCAAATTTGCTGCAAATCAATGGCCGGGGACTTGCTACTTGCAAGCTGTGTGGCCTTCAGGAGCCCCTTGGCTTCCAGGCCTGTCTGCCAAGGGCCTGGGACATTACAATGACATGCGAGGGACCAGGGTGGGGCCTGGCCAGCACAAGGCTCTCAGGTTCTTTCTGTCTGCTGGCCTGTGTGTCTCACAGAGCTCTTCCTGCCGGTTTGTAATGGTTTCTGAGCCTTGGTGGCTCTTCCACAATTACACCCCCATGGGTTTTGCTTCACCTTTCCAGGAAGCTCTCTACATTCTTTTTTATTTCTAGTTCTTTCCCAGACTGACCATTTTTCTCTGGTCGGTCCTTCTGGAAGTCTAACCTTTCATTGTAGGTTGCCCCTCCCTAGGGGCTGGCCTCTTTCCCAAGCTACCCTGCAGCTGGAACCCAAGGGGAAAGGGAGGAGTGGCAGGCTCTATGGTAACCCTGAGAAGAGAATGCCTCCTCTCCTCATCTGCATACAGACAAGCTCATCTGCATACAGACAGGCTTATCTGCATATGCTCAGTGGGACTCTGAGAGCATATACTTAAGTGTGTGACTGCCTGGTCCCACCCACTTCAGTCGTGGAATCCCTGTTCCGGGAGGAGCTCCTCTCTGCCCCCTTGCCCTCCTGACCCTGTCTGGGTCTGGCTAGGTCTTTCAATTACTAAAAAGCAGCTCACCCTCCTTAGCTACCTCCTGCCTCTGCTTGCTGCCTTCCCAGCCTCCTCCTTGGTCTGTTGAGAGGACCCCTCATCCCCACCCAATTTCTTCAGAGCTCATGAGCTTCCTAAGGAGCTGCGAGAGCAGACACAAGATTGACCCAGGACTGGTCACCACTTCCTGCCCCGGGGGGAGGGGATGGCCAGTTTTCACCCACCCACACAGGCCTCTACCCTTGGGGTCACAGTGGGTCCTGGTAAGGTTGGCCTTGGAAAGAGTCCCTGAAACAAGGGCTAGGACTTCCACAAGCTCTATTCTGGCCTGATGAACTCCTTAAAAGATGAGCAGCACCCAAAGACGCAGCCAGACTACAGGCCCTGCCCTCGTGGAGGATCCTGAGGCTCATGGGTCTGGGGGCTTTCCTATGCTGAGAACCTTGCAGAGGCTCCCCCACCACAGTGTCAGTTCCTCTGTACAGTGAGGAAATGTGTTAGACCAGGGCACCCATGCAGGGTTAGAACCCATGGCTGAGCATGCAAGGCAGACACTTTACCCCTGAGCAGGTTGAGGATGATTCTGGAACAGTCATCTTTGGGAGTGAGTGCAGGAATGCGGGTGGACACTGCAGTGTGGGTGTCAGTGCAGGAATGCTGGTGGACACTGCAGTGTGGGGTGCATTAGTGCAGGAATGCTGGTGGACACTGCAGTGTGGGTGTCAGTGCAGGAATGCTGGTGGACACTGCAGTGTTGTGTGTGTCAGTGCAGGAATGCTGGTGGGCACTGCAGTGTTGTGTGTGTCAGTGCAGGAATGCTGGTGGGCACTTCAGTGTGTGTGTCAGTGCAGGAATGCTGGTGGGCACTGCAGTGTGGGGTGTGAGTGCAGGAATGCTGGTGGACACTGCAGTGTGTGTGTGAGTGCAGGAATGCTGGTGGGCACTGCAGTGTTGTATGTGTCAGTGCAGGAATGCTGGTGGGCTCTGCAGTGTTGTGTGTGTCAGTGCAGGAATGCTGGTGGACACTGCAGTGTGGGTGTCAGTTCAGGAATGCTGGTGGGCACTGCAGTGTTGTATGTGTCAGTGCAGGAATGCTGGTGGGCACTGCAGTGTTGTGTGTGTCAGTGCAGGAATGCTGGTGGGCACTGCAGTGTGTGTGTCAGTGCAGGAATGCTGGTGGGCACTGCAGTGTGGGGTGCATTAGTGCAGGAATGCTGGTGGACACTGCAGTGTGGGTGTCAGTGCAGGAATGCTGGTGGACACTGCAGTGTGGGTGTCAGTGCAGGAATGCGGGTGGACACTGCAGTGTGTGTGTGAGTGCAGGAATGCTGGTGGGCACTGCAGTGTGGGGTGTGAGTGCAGGAATGCTGGTGGGCTCTGCAGTGTTGTGTGTGTCAGTGCAGGAATGCTGGTGGACACTGCAGTGTGGGTGTCAGTGCAGGAATGCTGGTGGGCACTGCAGTGTGGGGTGCATTAGTGCAGGAATGCTGGTGGACACTGCAGTGTGGGTGTCAGTGCAGGAATGCTGGTGGACACTGCAGTGTGGGGTGCATTAGTGCAGGAATGCTGGTGGGCACTGCAGTGTGTGTGTCAGTGCAGGAATGCTGGTGGACACTGCAGTGTGGGGTGTGAGTTCAGGAATGCTGGTGGACACTGCAGTGTGGGGTGTCAGTGGTGTGTAAGCACAGAGCATTCCCAGTGCTTAAATGCCTGTGAATTATCCCTGGGAGGGCTTGGAGCTAATGGCAGCCTCTTGGGAAGGAGGGTGGATGGTCAAGGACACCTTTTCTTTTTGTGTTGTTAGAATCGTGCCACGTTTAATAGCATATTTTCTTTGTTTAGACAAATTCTGGGATTCAAAATGAAGTTTTATGGAGGGATTGTGTTCAGACAGGAAGGACTGGGGGCAGCAGAGCTGGAAGGGTGTAGTTTGGGCCGGCTCATGCTCCAGCAATGTCTGTTAGAGGATGAGAGGGACTTGTCTTCCCAGGGGTCTGCAGGGGAAATGAGATCAAGAGCACATCCCTGGTTTCTCGCCCTGGCTCTTCATGCTCCCTTGAGCTCTGTGTCAGGTCTTGCCAGCCCTAGTCATTGCTTTCTGTGTCACTGAGGGGCTAGAGAAGGCACAGGAGTGTGGGACGGGAGTGTCCTCCACTGTGGACCCTCAGACTGCAAAGCTAAGAAAGAGCGCTTGCTGAGGGGGCAGCAACCATGCCCCTGACTAAAGAGAAGTCCCACTCTTGTTCGTGCTCGCCTGGTGCTCCCCTGCCTGGGGGAGGAGTTCATGGCTGTGATGGTCTTGGACCCCTTCTCATGAAGCTGGAGGCTAGCAGAAAGGGTGGGGGAGCTGCTCTCAGGGAGCCCCAGCAGGTGTGGCTGTGTTGTTTTGCAATGTTGCTCTATTATGCAGCACCCGGTACTCCCCAGTCCCTGCCCAGCACATCCAGAGGCAACTGCTGCTGTTCAATCTGCAACACACTTTATTGGGCATGGGGTAGGGTTAGGGATGCAGCCGAGAGGCAACATGGGAAATAGATGGGCCAGGTGGGACAACTTGCTAGAAGTGACCAGGTGAGCAAGGCCCTCAGTAGCTCGGGCAGAAGCTGCAGGGTGACACCTCTGCCTCTCTTCACATCTGCTTGCTGGAGCCAGCCCCTTCTCAGTCTGGGAGCACACTTGGCCCTCGGGGAGCTCATGGCCAGGTCAGGTCTTCTCTTTGGCCTACAAAGAGAAATTGTCAAGAGTGAGAAAAGGCCTGTTATCTCAGAAAAGGGGAACCTAAGGCAGGAGGATTGCTCTGAGTTCCAGGCCCGCCCATAACAAAACATACGTGAGTGCTCTCTCTCTCTCTCTCTCTCTCTCTCTCTCTCTCTCTCTCTCTCTCTCTCTCTCTCTCTCTCTCTCTCTCTCTTTCCTTCTCTCCCTCTCTCTCAGAAACACACTCAAACACATTTGCACACTTACACTCAAACACATACTCACACTCCTGAATGAATGTATTCTGTGAATGGAGACCTCAGGATTAGACAGAGGAAGTAGTCTAGGAAGGGTATCCCGTCCTCCAGCAGGGAAGGAGCCAAGTGTAAGCATCTTCCCTAGGACATCCCAGAACACTGAGGGCAGAGTGTCCAGAATGAGGCTCAGATCCTGAGAACTCTAGAACTATGGCCAGAGTCTGGGAAACTTGGTTATGAAGGCGGCAGAAGCGCGCTAGAGAGCAGTCTAGGAGCGTTTGACTTCAGGAGCTGAAGAGCTGCTCTTCCAGTCCGCTTCAGCCCCTGGAAACTGGTAGAGCTTCCCTTGGAGACTGACCCTGCAGCTGTCCCGGGAACCTGGTCCACAGGAAATCAGCGTTGGGAGGGAGCCCCATCCGTGTGAAGCACAGCCAAACTCTCAGACTGGGGGCTCTGGGGGCCTCTGATTGCTCCTGTGGACCAGGAGACAGGATCGCTTGGGTTTCAACCAGGGCAGATTAACTGTGATAAAAATCAAGTGATAGCCGGGCGTTGGTGGCACACGCCTTTAATCCCAGCACTTGGGAGGCATAGGCAGGCGGATCTCTGTGAGTTCGAGGCCAGCCTGGTCTACAAAGTGAATTTCAGGACAGCCTCCAAAACCACAGAGAAACCCTGTCTCGAAAAAACCCAAAAAAAAAAAAAAAAAAAAGAAGTCTTGGGAGTTCCCTTAGCCGCTTTCCTATAGGCCTTCCCTTCTAACAGAAGAATTTGAGGAAGAGGTGGGGATCTCAGCCACATCCCCGCACCCCCCAGCTGCACTCACTGTCACCTGCTTGCAGCCTGGATGGCCTTCAGCCTTCCTCTCCTTGGTTTCTCTTCCCCCACCATCGCCAGGCCTTAGCCTTGACTTGGACTGGAGGGACTGGGCTGAGAAGTCTGTTTGCATCCTGCTGCTGAAAGACCACAAAAATTGCATGTATAAACCTGGCTTCCTCCAGGTTTGGTTCCCAGGTCACCTGAAGGCCCTCAGAGTGCTCCGCCACCCCCAAAGTTGTCGCCTAGCTTCCTCCACATTCCCCTATTCCCCTGGACCCTGCTCCCAAGCTGGCTGAACCTGGAGGGACCGGCAGGAGAGCCGGCTGTGTGGCAGGGCCTGAGAAAGGGTTGTGGATGGGACTGGGTAGGGCCCACCCTGGCTGGGGAGGAGCAGTCCAGATGACAGGGCTAGCCGGGGTCTCCTAGCAACAGTAAAGTAGTAGGGGGGGCTGGGAAGAGGGGTGGGAACAATGATACCATAAATTACCCAGCCCTCCCACCCAGCCCCCTTTTAAGCAGGGTCCTTTCCCTCCCCACCTGCTTCTCAGCCAGCTGGCCCTGCTCAGCACCAAGGACTCTTCTAGCCAAGACAGCCATTCCTCACCTTCTGTTTGGTGATAGAAGGAAGGGACTGGAGTTCTCAGGGACTGGTTGGAGCCTCCCTGGTAGTCCTAAAGCCCCATCGGCCAGCCTAGGAAATGGTCCTTCCCTGGTAGTCCTTGGGTGCTCCTCTAGGCTGATGGGAGCAAGGAAGGAATGTTCCAAAACATTTGGGGACAATGAATGGAAGTCCCTGTGTCTTTTACATTTTTATTACATTTTTGGGGGGGGCATGTGCAGCCATGGAGCATGTATGGAGGTCAGAAGACAACATACGGGGACCAGTGTTCTCCCTCCAGAGTATAAACTTAGATTGCCAGGGTTAGTGGCAAGTGCCTCTGTCCACTGAGCCATCTCACTGTCCCTGTCCCCGAGGCTTTACGGGCATTTAAACTTCATACGAAGTTGACTAAGTCTCGACTTCCATTTCCCACCATCGAGGGACAGGAATTGCTTTAAAATGGTTAAAGCTGGGTGGCAAATCCTTCCTTGCTCGTCATCTCACCCACGGTCAGCTATGAGTTAGTACAGCAGTAAGAGAGATCGCGGCCAGACAGTGAGCAGTAAGAGAGATCGTGGCCAGACGGTGGGGAAGGCTCCAGAGGCAGGAACGAGAACGACCGGAGCTTTCTAACCAGAGTGAGAAAAAGTCTGCTGTAGAAGCCGGAAACAGGCTCTGCCCCCACCCCACCCTGCCCCCACACCCTTGGCAGCTGGAGACTGCACCAGTGCAGGCTAGGCAAGCGCTCTCACTGAGCTGCAGTCTCGGCCCAGAAACAGGATCTGAACACAATGAAACGTAGCACAGGGCCGGACATGGTGGCCTATTTTGGTCATTGCCATTATTTTGTTCCTCTGAAACAGAGTCTTATATCATAGCCCAGGATGTCCTGGAACTCAAAATCTAGCCCAGGCAGGGCCTCCAAATTGTAGCAGCTCTTCTGCCTCAGCCCTGAGTGCTGGGATGACAAGTGTGTCACCACGTAGAGTTTGTGTGGTGCCAGGAGCAGCCCAGGCCCGTGTGCATGCTAGACAAGCACCCCACCAGCTGAGCTGTGTCCTTACTGCTGGGCGTGATAACTAACTTGGTTTGGTTTGAGACAGGATCTCACTATGTAGCTCTGACTGTCCTGAAACTTGCTCTGTAGACCAGGCTGGTCTTGAACTCATACGGATCCTCCTGCCTCTGCCTTTCAAGTGCTGGGATTAAAGGGACATGTCACTATACCCAGAAATTTGGTTTGTTTTTGAGACTGAGGCCTGACTCTCTGGCTGTGAGGCCGGCCACACTTACCATTCTTCCTGCCCCAGACATCCAGGCGCTGAGATTACAGGTGTTAAGCACCTCGCCTGGCTGTCCGGGCCATTTGCAAAAAAAGAAACCAGATACTGTTTCCTGTCCTTCAGGAGCTCCATAGGAAGATCCAGAGAGGAGGTAGTGCCCTGAGCACAAGATGGCAGCCAATTGTCATAGCAACAGCAGAAAGAGTCTGGTTGGCTGTGGGGGCGGAGCTGGCATGCCAGCTGGTGCCAGATGGACAGCCCAGCAGAAGGCAGCCCTCACAGGTGAAGCTCCACCGTGCTCCGGCTCTCTTCCATATGCCGCCTCAGCCTGGTCCTCCCCTCCAGTCCTGGAGACTCGAAAGCTGCTGGTGAGGGCTAATGGCAGTGTTGTTCCTCCCCTGACTCTTGCTTGCACGACAAGGGACAACTGTGCCGAGACAAAGACCTTCCCTGCTCAGGGTCTCCCTGGACCACGGGCCCAAGGATCTCAACAGATCCAAAAGTAGCTCACTGATGATGGTGCCGAGGACCAGGGACCTGCTGTGGGGCAGGCTTGCGGGCCCTCATGGGTTTCCCTGAACAGAGATTCCACAGTGCCTGGCATACCCTGCTCTGGAGAACAGAAAGAAGGCTAAGGGAAGGGGTAGGATTAGCTGGGAGCAAGCCTCCTAGTGGACTCGATCACTAGTACCGACAAGATGTCACCCTCCAAGACAGACCTGAGACCCAGGCAGCTCCAGGCACTAGACAGGTACCTAGCACGAATCTCCTCTCCTCAGCCGGCGTCCCAAGGCCCAGGCGCCTGTAAGACTGTCACTTCAGTCCTCCCTCCTCTTACTGTGACCCTCAGTGCTCAGCATTGAACACTGGACATATGCACGCTACCCTACAAGGGGCTGTAAAAGTTAGGGCCCAAAGGCATCGATAACTTTTCTCTCTACTCCTCTACTAGCAAGCGAGAGAAGCCAGATTCTGTATCCTGTCTGTCCAACCCTCACTCTGTCTTTTGCTCTCCTTCCTACAGACTGGGCCCTTGGCCTGCTGTCGTTCTACTGTTTCAAGGGTTCCAAACCCCAAAGAGCAGTTAGAAGGGCCAGGTGGGCAGCAAGGGCTTGCCGCTGAGGGGCGGCTCCTTCTCCAGTGCTGACAAGCAGGAAGTGAGGCCCCAAAGGAACTTGTGCCGATGAAGACAGAGAGGTTTAAACACTGAGGTGGCCTAGGGACTCTGTCCTCCCAACACAGTCCTCAGTGTAAGAGGTTTGCTGTGACAGTCCCTCTGGGCTCCAGTGGGGCCCAAAGCCTGGGAGGGTGTGTGTGGACTGAGAGAGAGAGGCTAGAAGGCTCAGGAAGTACTTCTAGAAAGAATGGGAGGTGGGCAGAGATGGGGCCCAGCCCCGGGGGCCAGACGGGGCAGGGACAGGAGCCTGGCCTGGAGACCACTTGGTGCAGCCTCTCTGGGAGACTCTGGCTAGCTTCTTTCTTCTGGTGCAGACCTGCTGGAAGCCTGAGGCCACCTCCAGCCCTACCCCCCATGCACTGAAGGCCCTAGGAGCTAAGTCCCCTCACCTGACAGCCACTGCCAAGGCCCCTTACAGAGCAGCCTTTGTGTTAAGCTGGCATCGTGCTTACATGGCAGTCTGGAGACCAGCAGCACTTCCTGTCCTCCCTACCCCACAGGCTGCCGGAGAATCCCTCAGACTAAGCTCTGAACCCCACTCCTCCCTCGGTCTCTGAGTACAACTCCCTCCTTTCCATGCCAGCACCAGTCGTCCTTACAGCCCCTGGCTTCTTAAGTCTGTTTGTTTTTAATGTGAGAAGAGCTCAGAAACCATCAGGCTGTATGCACGTGAACCTCCTGCAAGTTAGGACAACCTCTCAGCCAGGTGCTGTATCCTAGCATCTCTGAGTCCATGGCTAACTTCCTCAAACCCCCATCATTAAACCAGCCTCCCTGCGTCAGTATCCAAGGCTCCACTTCCTCTGAGGGACAGGCATGTCGCCAAATACAGCATGTTTTTCTTTCTGATAGATACTTCCTACCATCTACCTCGCCCAAAGTCCTGAATACCTTGTATTGCTGCCTTATTACTGTTCTCCAGGATGCCATTAGGCATGTTGCAGTGGCCTGGGGTGAGTTGTGTCTGCTTTCTCACTAGACTACCCCCTCTACAGGACCATGGGTCTTCTCCCTCAGCCATACCTGGTATGAACCAGGCATTCAAAGAGCCTGCTGGCTGTAGGAATCAACATGGAGGCGTAAGGGACAGAAAGACCTGGACACATGAGTTGGCACAGGAGGGAATGGCAGGGTTTGGTGAGACCGATTTGGACACAGGGCAAATCCAGACAGTACTCAAGATTTGAACCTGGGGCTGCAGAGATGGCTGAGGGGTCAAGAGTACTCGTTGCTCTCCCAGAAGACCCGGGTTTAAGTTTCCAGCACCCACATGGCAGCTCACAGTCATCTGTGACTCCTGTTCCGGGAGATCCAACGCTTCCTTCTCCTCGGGCACCAGGCACATATGTGGCACACATACAAACATGCAGGCACTCATATGCATAAACTAAAATAAATACACAACATTAAAAATTAAAATTTGGAACCTGAGGATCTACGGGTTTAGGGGAAAGAAAACAAGCCTGTGGGTACCAGTGAGCAACTGAACTCCCCGAGCAGGACCCCTCCTGAGCCCTGCCACCCAGAGGCTAGAAACACAAGCACCTTCCCAGTGTTCTTCACAGTAGGGCCTGGGCGTGTGACCATTTCAGGCTCTAGGCTTGGACTTGAGAGCAGTTAACAGCAGGACACTGGCCAGTGGATAGGCTGTGACTGCAGTTTTGAATAGACCAAGGTCAAGAAGGTGAGTGAGAGTTTCTACCTTCAGCAGATGGTTGAAGACCAAAGTGACCGAGAGGGAGACACCAAGCCCTGGCACATATGTGTGAAGCTGGCTGAGTGAATGAAACTAGGAATAAGTTAGTTCAGCTCCAACACAAGCAGCAAAGCCAACACAGGTGGGGAAGTTCATGAGTTTATCCACGGAGGGCAAGGATGGCTGCCGGCCCAGGAAAGAGGCTGTGGGTGGTCTTAGAGCAGGCACGGCTTCCAAAGGGTGGCGAAGATGGCAGTGCCGGCTGGGCACAAGAATACACTGCTGTACAGCGCTTTCCCCAGCACGGAGACCCTCCAATCGGCAGATGAGCCCCCGCCCCAGCCTTACGCCGCCCCTCTCCTGCTGGTCTTCTCGCCCTGATTCTCCCCTGGCCTTTGACATCACCCACAGTCTTGAGTCCTCCGGGATCTGTATCCAGTGTGGAGGCTTCTCTACCATCCTGATTAGATGCAGAACCTCCTAGCTTTTCTGGGAACGCCCCCTCCCTTCCTCTCCCCCTCCTCTGCCCACTGATAGCAATGATCGGGTCTATTCTTGGTCTGCAGGAAGCCCTTCCCTATGGTGTCATTCTCCTTCACGTCCACCACCAGGCCTGGCTCTCAGCCCGTTTCCTTCAGAGGCGGCCATTTTATAAACGCCGGCTACCTAAGATGGCGGCACTCCTCTTCCAACGATTCCATTCCCACGGACTCGCATCCTACCCGGCTTTCTTTCGGAAGCCTGATTCCAACAAGGTGGGGGGCCCCCGACTGAGGAGCCAAGGCCGGAGGAAGCAGGAGAAAAAAGGGACAGAAAAGGCAGCCCCTTGGCATCTCTCTTTGGCATTTGAGTCCAACCCAGGGCGGGAGGGCGGGCAAGAGGGAAGAAAGAAAGTAGTATGAGTTTTTATTTCTATCCTCTTCCTGCCACCCCAGCTCTCCCCCCACACTTTGATGAAAACAAAATCTCTCCCTTTTTCTCTTCTCCACCCCCCCCACCTCTTTTTTCCTGGCTTCTACCATGAGCCTCCTGCAATGCAAATGAACTGTATTATGCAAATATATGCAAATAAGGCTTAACGAGCGGAAGGAGGGGGCAGAATGCCTAATGAGTAATGGTGAGGGTACAGATGGAGGGTGTCAGGAATGGCTCCCTCCTCCTTTCAGTTCACACAGCCTGGAGGTTTTGCTAAAGGTAGCAGGTGTCCCTTATTTCTGGGAAAGTGCAGAAGGCCGAGGTCCCAACACAGCCTATCACTTCAGCTGAGGAGTCCTGGGATACCTTTGGCTACAGGCGAAGGACACAGGAGCTTGAGGAGAGAGGGGTGAAGTAGAAGGGATGAGTGCCTACTGTACATCCTTGGCCGGATGCTGCATATACCAGCCTGGCTGCCCTGTGGGCCCTTGGTTCCCGGTGCTGAGGGTGGTGCCTCAGCATGGGATGGCTGTGCATTAGAGAAGGGGATTGCCAGGGGAAGATTCCCAGGCAGACCCAGGTTTCTCCTAGAGGTGGGGGTGAGTGCTTTGTGCTTTGGGGTTGGGGGTTGGGGTGGTTACCATGGCAACATAGCATAGAACACCCACCTCCCCAACATTCAGCCCCAGAGGACTTAGGGGTTGGGGGTGGATAATGGATTGACACCCCCTGATGCCCCTGCCACCTGGCACTGCCAGCCAGAGATGGCAGCATCAAATGAGAGAATGGTCCCTTTGTTTCTGGGCTCACGGTGTTGGGGGAGCAGGCATGGGCACACAGAAGGGCCTTTCCCAGGCCCCGGTCCAGTTTGCATGACTCCTGCTGGTCTCCAGAGACTCCCGGAGGCCATCCACTGGCCTCTATACCCTGGCAGATGGTTCCCCCTTGCCTTTTCTGCTAGGTAAGCCTTCTCCATGGCTTTCCCTTCGAGCCTTCTCAGACAGAACAGTCAGTCCCACCTCTCCCCGTTCTCATGGATACTTCACATTCCCAGACATGCATCCTGACCTTCTGTGTGGAACATCCCTTGTGAAACTCCTGCCAGAACTGGGCAAGGAGATTCCTAAAGCGGGGATCAGAGGCGGACAAAGCTAGGCTGGATTCAGGAGCCTGAGCCTTCAAGCTTCACTCACCAGCTGAATGACCTTCCCCCCCCCTCTCTCTCTCTCACACACACACACACACACATGCATGCCCTGGGTTACATATGATGACAGAGGGCAAGGGTGGCTGACTTGTTTTAGCTTCAGTTGATCTGTACATTCTGTCTTCCATGCCTCACATGGAATCCTTCCTGACTTCTCACCTTCCTACCACGACTCTCGTTCAGCGTCCACACCAAATTCAAGCCCAGTGTTCCCGAGGCTGCCATGCCACCTCCCTCAGCCTGTCTCCTGAGACTTCCCGGTGGAACGGAGGTGGGAGGAACTCCTCGGTCCTAAATGAGTCGGCAGGCTCACTCACCGCTGGGAGCTGTCCTTGGTGCTGGACGTCACTGGTCCTAGCTTCCTTGTCCACAGAGCAGAATGGGCGGGAGGGTGAAACACCCACCCGCCCAGGGGAGAAGCTGAAGGAAAGAGAAGCAGAAACATTTGGATACAGTAAGAAAAGAGAAAAGGCAATTTTGAAGGAAGTCTCCCTGCTATTGGAGGGGCGGAGAGCGCTGGGGTGGGTGAGTCCTGAACGTGAGTCCTGAACTTTCCACCCCTTCATCCTAGATCTTCAAGAGGCCCAGATTAGCTCAGAGTTCCTTGGGATCCTTTTGAAAAACCCACAGGCACATGTAAGGCTGAATCAGTGCTTTTGCCCTTAGGGAAGAGCAAGGCTGAGGTCGAAGACAGTCCTTTAAATTCCATTCTAAATACTATGGCTTCCACAGTAATTTAGTAATATAGATAAGCAAGAGATGGGTCTGCCAACAACTGACTGCATCATGGTGCAGACTCCAAGGTGTCATCCCTGCTCTGATTTTTAGGCTGGGCCAAGCCCAAACATCTGTATGGGCGTGGAGGGTGGTTTTAGCGTGTAGCCAAGTCTAGAAGCATTGGTCCAGAAGGAGGCAGATAAGAAAATGTGCCTGGGCTGCTTCCAGGAAAGGCGCCCTTACAGAAGGGAAGGGCGGGGAAGATACAGGCTTGGAGAGGGGGACCCTGAGCCTCTCCTAGGCCCAGTCAGGTGCCACACTTGTCCCTTCTGTGCTGTGGAAACTCAAACCACACGAGGCAATGGGATGTGCAGTGTCCCCACAGGGTGCTCTCGCATGGACACGGGGAACGGGTGCCACGACCCGAGGGTATGCTGCTCCCCTCAACCAGAGGGTCCCAGGGAGGCAGCTGTGGAAGGTAAACAGCAACAATGGCCTCTTTCAGTGTCCAGACCCCAGTCCTTCAGTCCAATTAGCAGACACAGCAAACAGCAATTCAGCCGCCTTCAGTCGCTGTCATAACAAGCTCAGAGCTGCCTTAATGGGGATTAGGGCAGGAGGAGGGGTGTCACTCTAGCCCTGGCAGAGCCTGGGTGGCAAGGAGCCTCCCCTTTTCCTCACCTCTCTCCTAGCAAAAAGCACACCCACCCACCCTTCCTCCCTTCCATAACTCTGAGTTCCCCATTCTCCTCAAAAGCCCAAATGTTTTCTGGATTCCGTCTCCTCCCTTGCAGTGGTCTGAAGCCACCGTTAACCTAAACCCACTTATCTCCTGGGGGAGTTGGCCCATCTTGCCTATTGGTACAGTAACCCCATTTCCCTATTGTGGGGTCTTTTAAAAATTATTTTCTTAGACAAGGTCTCAGTGGGAACAAGCTGGCCTTGAATTCTGCATACTCCTGCTTCAGCCTCCTGAGTATTGAGATTATAGGCATGACCCACTAAGCCCAACTCCTGCCTTTAGTAACTCTAGAGTCTAGATGTTTAATGGCAGAAGGTTGCAACTATCACTTACACATTATGTGCAGGTGAGTTTACCAGTCAACCATGCCCTTACTTAGGAGAAAGAGCACAAAGCCAGGCATGCCTATAATTCAAGCACTGGAAGGTTGAGGCAGGAGGATAATCATTAGTTAGAAGCCAACCCTGGCTACCTTGTTAATTCTAGACCATTCTGGGCTAAAAGTGAAACTGCGCCCCCAAAAACTTGACAAAGAGAGATGTGGGTGGGAGGATGACTATAAATGACAAGGTGCCCAGCCCTCCTCTTTACAGGGTTCCTAAGGGTACCCTCTCCACCCCTCCCCCTTTTAAAGGGTTACAGTTCCTCCATCACAAACATGTCAAAGAGAGCTTTCCAGCTTTGCTACATTTCTTTTTTCTTCTTTCTTCCTTCCTTCCTTTCTTTTTTTTTTTTCTTTCTTTCTTTCTTTTTTTTTCTTTTTTTAGAGAAAAGGCCTCACTATGTAACTTTGGCTGTCCTGGAACTCACTATGTAGACCAGTCTGGCCTTGAACTCACAGAGATCTGCCTGGATCTGCTTCAGAAGTGCTGGGATTGAAGTGCCACTCTGGCACTCCCAATTTAACAAGACCTTTTGCATGTCTTAAAGGGGTGGGGTGTTGTCTCGGGTTGGGTCTAGGTGATCAAGTAAAATTTGTGTGGGATATTTTCAAGAAAGTTGCCTTCAGTTGCCTGTACAGAGAGCTCTACAAAAGAACATAGGACAAAGCCTTGAAGAAAAGTGGGTCAAGAAACTAGCTGAGGGGCTGGAGAGATGCTCAGTGGTTAAAAGCACTGGCCGCTCTTCGGAGAATTCAGGTTCAATTCCCAGCACCCACATGGCAGCTCACAACCATCTGTAATGTAAGCCCAGTTTCAGGGGATCCAGCACCTTCTTTTTTCCTTCAAGGGCACTACACAACTACACATATGGTGCATAGACATATACACAGGCAAAACACCAACGCACGCGCGTGCGCACACACAATTTTTTTTCAAAAATTTTAAAGAGAAGAAAAGAAGCCAGATGTGAATTTGGTTTCCAGTAAATCTAGTGGATGTAGCAAACTTTGAAAAATACAAATGGCAGTTATTAGACCCAGGCAGGCTGTGACTACACAAAGAAGCTTTCTCAATTGGGTAGCTGGTGGAGTGTGAACTCCAATGAAAGCAATTCTCCTCCGTAGTTTGATTGGGTAAGCAGGGTTCCATATGATATAGAGAAGGGAGGGAGTGGTGAGCCAGGCGCTGTAGCTCATGCCTGTAATTTTAGCATTTGGGAGGCTGAAGCGGAAGGATTGCCATGAGTTCCACATAAGCCTGGGCTACACTCTGTCTCAAAAACAAAAGAGAGAGATCCAGGGAGATAGTTCTGCGGGTAAAGGTGGTTGCCACCAAGCCTGACACTGGAATTCCGACCCCTGAACCCACATGGTTGAAGGGGAGAACTGACTCCCACAAATTGTTTTCTGACCTACCAATGCACGACCAGAGACTCAAAATAAATAAAACAGTTCAAAAGAAATATTTCTCTAAAAAATAAAGGAGAGGAGGGGACTCTAGGTATCACTGTTGTTAGTGTCTGCATTTAGTAAACTCCAGCTGTTTTCTGTGGTTTTCCCTGCCCACATCCTAGCATCCCCAGTGGTCCAGCCGAGTTTCCTAGCTCACCATGCAGCATATACACCTCACCTCCTATGATCTCCACATTGCTGCTTCCCTACCTCCTCATCCGATGTGTGAACTTCAGTCACCAGCTGTCCTGCTGAGAACCCCACCCACCCAACCTCAGTGCGCACTTAAAGAAGACACAACCCCTGAGAATCCACAGTCATGGCGGTAGATAATATAAAACCATTGTGGTTAGCAATCGAGGCTCTAAGTCTCCTAGGGATGAGCCTTGGGTGCCCAAAATATACATTTCTTTGTTTTGGTGTGTGCGCGCGCGCGAGGGGTTCTAGGCTGGCCAGGAACTTGCAGTGTAGACAAGGATGACCCTGAATTCCTAGTCCTCCCTCCTCTGCTTCCCAAGTGTTGGGATTATAGGCCTGTGGAGGTGGAGGACTGCGTAGCCCTGGCTGTCCTGGGATGTAGTGTGTAGACTGGGCTACACACTTGCAACACCATACATTAAAACACTAAAAACAGTAAGGACAAGGAAGCTTGTTTTGTTGGTGCTCCTCCTCCTGCCTCGCAAATCCCTGATAGCAGTGAGGCATCTCTGTCTCTTCTCTCTGCTTCTCTCTTCCCCAAGCCCACTTGGCTCCCTTGGGTCTCACTTTCTCCAAGACAGAGTCCATGGCAGGAGCTTTGGGTGTCAAGCCATTGAGCAACATCAGCTGCTTACTTGGGCCTGTGTGACATGGGATAACAGCATCTCCCAGGCAGTGTGGCCTTGGAGACCATTCGGCCCAGTCTAGAACCCCATCCTTTTCCCAATTCGGGCCCCACCTCCCCCACAACCACACAAAACAAATTCCCAGCTTCTGAAAAGGCGAGAGGCTAGACTCTCCCTCCCCTAAAGGAGACACACGAGGGCAACAGGCTCCCTGAAGCCCCAAATTTTGAATTTGGATTCTCCAATATTTCTCTCATGTAATACAAAATTGAATCATTATCTTTTAGCTATAAAATCAAGTCCTGAGAGGAATTTTTAAATTGACAGAAGACACCGGGGGCTGTGCAATGACATTTTGCTCAGTTTTTCTGCCTCTTATTAGTCCTTACGGCCCTTTTCTCCAAATGCCTGGTGGTCAAGTCTGGTGCAGGGCCATATGAATGCAGCGGGAATTCCTAGCCCTGGCCACGCTTGGTAGATCATCTTCTCCCTGTAGAAACCCTCTTTTACTAAAATATTTAGGTCAGGCCAGATAAATAGATTCTCATTGCAGGAGCCCCAATTAATCTCTCTAATTCCTTGCTTCCTCTGGGCAGCTACACATTCCTTTGTGTTTGAGATCGTCAGAGCTCCCTGAGGCCATTTGTTCCTTTGGGACTCGATTCCCAAGAGTGAGGCTGGAACTGGAAGGTAAAAACCCCCGACTCTACACCTTGGATCATTAATGATAAAGCAGCCAGAGAGTCTCTGCAAGACTTCATTCAGGTCCTGAAGGCATAAAGTGAAAGCAAAGCATCTGCCCCCAGGATCCCGAACTCCAGGGGCAAATGGGTCCCTGGCCAATCCCCACCCTTGCCCTGGTGTGTTTGTTTCCAGCCTGCTCCCTAATGACTTCGTTGTGTGTGTGTGTGTGTGTGTGTGTGTGTGTGTGTGTTTAAGCACCCCACCCCGCGGCAGCTCATAGACCTGTTCCCACCTGGATAATCTCGGCTCCCAGTAAAGCTGGGGGCTTCACAGAGAACCCACCAAAGCAAAAGCCAGCTTTCTACAGACCCTCTACGAACCTCGAACTCCACCACTCTCTTGGAAGAGTTAAAGGGAAGCTGCTCACAGCAGTCGACCGCAGTTGCTCCCCGGAGCAGGAGGCGTCAAGACCAGCGAAAGGGTGCTGGCACGTCCCCACAACCTTCCAACTAGATTCCAACGACTTTGTCTCTCCCGGGAGCAGCTTCCCTGGTACTGGGGCCCGGACTGCTCGGATCTGACCAGGCCTGCAGAGGCGACCCCAAAGCGACTTCTTGCTTTCTTCTCAGCTCAGCCGGTCACGGGTGGGGATCTCGAAGGTGACCTGGGCTAAGCAACCCTCGAAGGCGACGACCTCCCCGCCCTGCCCCGGCCCCCCAGCCTCGTGGGACTCGTGGCTCTCCTTCCAGCATGCAGCCCTGCCGCCACCAGCGTTTCGGGCCCTCTGCGCAGTGTATGGGGTTATTTTTACTTTCGGTTATCTAGCTTTATGAAGACTCCACACCACTCATACAGCTAGATAACCAAAGATAACAACCAACCCCGCCTCCTGGCCGCCGCCTCCTCTTCCACGCAGCCTCCCGGCCGCCGCCTGGACCTCTGCAGTCTCGCGTCGCTCGACGGCGGGTGGGGGACACGCGTGGTATGGAGGCGAAGATGGGGTCCTGGACCTCATGCACTGTCACGACGAGACCTCGAAAAGCGAGGAAAGGATGCGACCGCCGACGGCTCTGAGGTCGGGAATCCAGGGTGGATCCCAGCAGCCCCAAGCCTGACCGCCCATTTCCCACTCCCTCCTCCTCGATGTAGACGCCGGGTTCCGCCCGTGCGGGTGGAAGGGCTTCAGGGCCTTTCGTGCCACCCGGGAGGACCGCCGGGGCCGAGGCTGAGGCCTCCCCCACCTCCCACGGCGTCCACACCCTCCTCGGGAAGGTGGAGTCTGAGCTCCGCGTGGGTGCGGCCGAGCCGAGCTCGCAGAGCGGGTCCCAGCTACCGACTGAAGGGGAGCGGACCGCGAACCCCCGGACCGGAACCCCAGCACTGGAGAATCTGGAGGCCCAGCGGGGAAGCCTGTGGCTGGCGGCAGGACGGGGCTTATACCGAGACTCCCGAGTCTCCCAAGGGCAAAGACCCCACCCAGAGAGACGAGGGAGCAGTCAGGACGTGGGCTTGCGGGGAGTGCAGAGGGCGGCCAGGCAGGTGCGCCGAGCTCTGGGCCCACAGAACCGCGAGAGTCGGTTTTGTGCAAATAGCAGCTGAAATAACCCAGGGATGTGAAAATTGCCCGGGGTCTGAACGAGAGAGGTGCCCTTAGTTGTTGACGGGGGTGGGGGGTGGCGATCTGGACCGAACCGACAGGAAGGAGGTCCAGGGTGGCACACAGGGTGTGGGGCTCTGTGGTCGCAGGTGGCGGACGCGCGCTGGACTCTGAGGCGCTTCCCCACCTCGTCCCCACGCGGGTCAAGCCACTTACATCAAGCCCAGCGTGCCCAGGGCTGCCGTCCTGCGCGGTCTTCCGGTGCGTTCCCACCCAGGCAGCTCCGCCGACTGAGTCGAGGGTGCGGGAGCTTACCAGGTGCAGAGGCCGAGCCGGAGCCGGCAGGGAGGAGCGGGGTCTCGAGTCCCAGCTCCCTCCTCAGCCTTGGCCGCTGCTCTGGCGGGGGCGCTCTCAGGCTCCGGACTTTTCATTCATCCCTTCACACTCCTTCCTCAGGCCAGTCTCTGATTGGCCATACCTGGTCTGACGTCACTGCCTCTTTTTTTCTCTCCCCCCTCCATCCCCGCCCCCGCCCTCCCCAGGCCAGTCCACGGCTCGCAATTGGGGTGCCCCTCCCCCAGAGAATGGGGTGGGGTGAGGGAACCAGTGTCTTCGTGTGGATCCTCAGCCTTTGGCTGCCTCATCTCCTACCCGCCTGCCACGTATTTATAATCCATTGCCATTTGCGGCTCTGATGGCTACCCTCGCCCTTCTTGTAGGCCTTACATTTTCCATTTGGGTCCTGCAGAGTACTTTGTACCAGGACCAGTGCGCAAAGATAGAAAACAGATTAGGGAAAATTCCCTCAAAGAGAAGTGATCCTCTGTAATCTCAGCACTGGGGAGGTTGAGGCAGGGGGATTGGAGACTCTATCGGTCCCAGCCCCTCCCATCAGGGGATTCTTTTTGAGTTCTAGTCCCTCCCAAACTGTGATCCTAATATTTAGGAAAGGTAAGGATCGCTTTTGTTCAAGGTTTTTCAACTCAAAACCTGAAGGAAAAGATTGTGCAATTTGAAACTCCTGCTGGGAGACAATGGTGAGCAAAGATTCCAGGAGGACATTTCTTGAACCTGTTTCCAGCATCAAGTTTCTCCGTGAAAGGAAGGACAGCCATAGCTGAGAATCCTAGCCGGTTTTGAGGCTAGGAATATGGCCCCAGCCCTGGAGGCCTTTAAGTCCTGTCCCTGTACCCGTGTCCCTACGGGCTCCGCAGCACTGCACCAAGGTGCCAGCTCCAGAGCTGGGCTCCAGCTAGGCTCAATTCTCCAGCCTCAGCCTTCTCCACCTGGCTCTCAATCTAGTCCAGTCAGATCATCTTTCCCTCTGCTGCCCAAAAGGCAGAAGCAGAAAAGCACCGGGCAGTAGCCAGTTGCTCTTGGGCAAAATTTGGTTCTAGCCACAGTGAAGTTCTCAAAGCAAGTCATGGGCCTTCAGCAGCCATTATGTCTGCCAGCCCCTCCATCTTCCTATTCTTCCTCTGCTAGATCCCTTCCATAAACTGGTTCAGGTACCAGCCAGCCATAACCAGGGATCTCAAAACACTAGGTGGGACATCATTTTAACCAGCAGACCTGTCCAGATTTTTCTCTCTGTTAGCCCATGGGCAGCCCAAGACAAAGCCAGACCTGCATGTTGTTTGCCTTGCTTAGATGCAAGGTGAGGGTTAGTAGGTTTGACTTGATGCTTCTCCCCAAAACAGGAGAATGTCTGGATAATCATTGCCACTAATGCTGGCAGTGTGGATGTGGGTGGAGCAGGTATGGAATGAGATAAAGTCCACAGGCTGTTTTCCTGCTAGAATGCTGATGGCAAGGGGAAGCAAGTGGCCAGATCTCTCCAGTGTCGAGGGGACATTCTCAGGGCCAGGTTTAGGCGGAATTCTCTGTCAAGTCTCTTTAGTGTCTAAAGGCTCTTTTCCAAGAGAGAGGATAATTAATTAATTTAGGTACTGAATTAAATTAAGCTCGGGCCTCGCATAGACTAGGCTAGCCCATTACCACTGAGCCTTCCCCTTAGTCCCTTCTGGTTTACTTTGTGGCTTTCTCATTAGGTTGCTCAGGCTAGCCTTCAGCCTACTTTAGTCCAAACTGGCTTTGGAATTTTGATCACCTTGTCTCACTCTCCCATGTGCTGAGATTACAAGCCTGTATCACCCAACCCGGCTAAGGAAGAGGGTTCTAGAAGCTTTGACAGTCTGTATACTTTCCCATTCCAGAACTAGGAGTACCGTACCAACGGCGAGGATGAAGGACAGAGGCAGAGAAGGCATCCCCTACACTGTTTCCTCCCCACCCCCCACATGCCCTTACAGCTCAGAATGGGGTTTGGAGGCTCCTGGAGCTCTAGTACACTTGCAGAAAAAAAGGGGTTCTCCCCAAATGCTCTGTAGGCAGCCCCTCTCCAGCATGGTGCTAAATGCAGTCCCTAAGTCCATCTCCATAAGGCTTTTCATATTTTCCTCCATACCCACAATCCCTTGAATATTTCTCTTCATGTCACTGCACACCCTTTCACCAGAGGCCTGACATACACTTCCCATGCACACTAAACTTCTCTGCATAGCTGGCCAGCCACCCCAAGAACATTTGCTCTTTCCACAAAACCGCTTAAAAGCCACCCCCAGCCCCTTTCTCCCCTCTCCCTCCCTTTCCAACACCTAGAAGTAAAGAGCTTCCTCTGCTGGGTAAAATGTTCCCCTTCCTTCTCTCCAATCTTCACCATGCCCTGCCCTCTTCCACCTCCACCCCTTCCCCTGGAGCCCTGAAGGCCATAAGGAAAGAGGCGGCTGAAGCAGTCAAAGCCTTCTCTACTTTTGGTTGAAAGGGGAGAGTACACAAAGGTCTCCTTGCCCGGTATCCACTCCCTTCACATATTCCTAATGGCCAAATGCAGGCTCAACTGGGCTTTTTCAAAATTAACCTTAAGGAAGAAATGAGTACACTTAGCTGGATTCTGAAAATGCTTCCCACACAGCAGATATGGACTAAAGTCCTGCTGGCTCTTATTATGGCTTTGAACTTTTCCATGGCAGTTCAGTCTAACAGTATCTAAATTAAGGAGAAGATGCCCCGCAAAAGAACATGGAGCTACTCTCGGCTGTCCTGCACATGGAATGCACACCTCTACCCAATGCCTGAGGAAGCAATTTTTGCCCTGGATCTCACTGCTCGTTTTCAGGAGTGCAGATGAGTGGACTTTCAGGCCAGTGCGAAAGGGACCTATGCTTGGAGAGAAGCTGAAACGTCTGCACTTAAGTCATGCTCTTCCAGTTTTAAACAAGAAAACCCCTCCAAAAGTTCGAGAACAAGGAGATTTTTGACATATTCTTTGTCCACAAAGAGGAAAGTAGGTAAGGCTCATGCAGACTATTTGAGAGTTGTGCTTGTGTCAGAGGAGACCCATCTACCCACGGGAGGTAGCAGGCCTGCAGGACTCACAGTGGGCACAATAGTTCCAGAGGGTGAGCTTGGCTCACCAGCCTCAGTCTCCTAAAAGAGCCTCATCTGGAACAGAGCTCTCTGTTCTCTCCAGCACAAAGCAGCCTCCTCTCTGGTGGCCTGTGGACCTCACTGTGAGTCCTTCTTGGGGGACTTGTGCTAATGACGGGCTGTGAGTGTCCCAGGATCCTTCATTCTTTGGGGTCCCTGGGATCAAACTCTGGACTCAATACATACTAGGAAAGTGCCCAAGCATTGAGTCATAGCCACAACGGAAGCCAATGTCCCTATCCACCCAGCAGCCCACCTATTGTCTGTGTCTGAAGGGCCCACACAGAGAGAGACATGCTTATGCTATCTGGATGCAGCCTTTTGACTCCTTATGTATACTTTGGCAGTAATACACTTTTTGAAATAGGTAGTTAAATAAAAACACAGTTTTCCCTTGTTTGCAAGGTGGATTTGCTTTGAAGATACAGGCCAAAGCTTCATCGGAGGGTGAACGCATTTCTGAGACAGAAGCTAATTACTGACCACTATTAAACAATATTCTGTTACTGAATATTTGCAATATCTATAGAATTGTAGCAAATTAAAGTAATAATTGGCAGTTAAGATGATAAATACTGTTTTTTTAAAGTCCAGCCCTATGCATAGATGAGGTTAGGCTGCTTGGAGATACTCTCGAGGAGATGGCCACTGAGGTCCGTAAGAGTGGGAGCATTCCCAGCCTGTGGAAACACGGCCTGTCCAGCTCCTCCTGATCCCCCACAGACTCACTTACCCATTGTCCTATTCCTACAGTGTTAGACAGGTAAGACAGGGTGACAGAGATGGTGGGGGTCAGCTTTTCATCCACATCAGGCCCTTTCTATAAGACCTTCTATGGTCATAAGCATGATTGTGTAAAGGTGTAGCCCACCCGCACTCAAGCACAGGCATGCACACTCATGCCCATAAACTCAGAAAGATTTAGTGGTAAATCCACCGACAAGCCTAGCAGTATTACCTCCCAATTCTCAAAGGTACATGGCCTTGTATGCCAACCTACTCAGTCATTTAAGGGCCTGGAAGCCCCATTCATTCCAACATGCACTCCTCTCCTGGCTCACCTGTCACCCAGGTGTCATCCCTGTCCCCTTCTGAAGCCAACCACCTCCCCCACTTCCTCTATCTCTTCCCTTAGGAGGCTATGGGAGAAAAGGGAGGGTGTTTTGCAGAGCAGTACCTCCCCTCTGCACAGAACCAGATACAGACACAGGGTGGCCTTTTGTCCCAGGCTGTGGTGTTGCATTGCCTCTTAGCTTTGACAATGCTGGTCACACTACAGAATAGACCAAAATCAAAGGCCGGAGACTGGAAGAGACAGCAAGCAGGGTGGAGAGCACCCAGGGAACGGGACTAGCTTCCTTTCTCCCCCCCCCCATACCACCATCAAGCGAGCAAGGAAATAAATACCCCGAAGCCAGAGATGTGGGCCACCTATGAGGACATCGATGAGCCGGTGAACAAGGAGGCTGCTTCTAGATGACTGCTCCTGTTGGAGGAAGAATCCAGAGTTCAGTCCTCTTCCCCACCACCAGCAGTCTCCCCAGTTTTCCGCTTTGCTCCCCAATTCAATCCTCAGGGCTTAAGGCTGCCTAGCTAGGCCAACAAAAGACTGGGCAGATCCGGGTCTCTCAGCTAGGTTCTTCTGGGTGACTCTGGCTTTGCTGCCTT